TTATTTTGTATACTGATATGTTCAAGCTTGGGCTCTGCTGAATAGAGTTCCTTATGAAATGCATCATTATTATGATTACAGTTACAATTTTTGTTGAATGTTTAATGAATATATTCGCATTAAGAAATAATGAGTTGGAAAGTTCAGTAGGCTTGCTTGGCTCACTAGGAAAAGCTTACTGTGCCTCGCTTAATTTACTTTTGTGCCGGGAGGTTAGGAAGCTCATGTAGTCATATGATTCTTCTGCAATTATTTTTAAAGTTACATGGTTCTAAAATGCTTACAGTATTTATCCTTCAAACTCAATCTTTTACTATGGAGTTTCTTACCATGTGCTTTGCATGTCTAAACTTATGTATGTGAATCATGTTTTCAATTATATAAATGTTTTTTGGGTAAATAGAATCTTCTGTTGAAACTAATGAAAAAGATAATTATTTTAAAAAAAAATTTAAATGTTTATTATGTGTTTTAGATAGAATTAGATTGTATATATTATGATAGATTAATGTTAGATTGCTGAAAATTTGATTCATACTCTATTTTTTAAAGCTGCACAAAAATTTGATTTCCTTTTCTTTGGTTCAATCCTCTGCACGTACTTCTCTAAATTGTAATTCTTCTCTGGTGTTCAGCTCCATCACTGAAATTGATTGATTTTCATGGGCCGGGGTAGATAAAGGAAATCTTGATGATTAATTAAAGTGTGCTTAATCTTTGTGGTTTGGTGTTAAGTGCCAAAATCCTGCCGGCTTATAAATACTCAATTACAAAGATTTGATCTTTTTCATGGAAATATGGCAGAATATAGAAACAAGTCAACCAACTTTGGTATAGAGCATATTTGACTTGATAGTATTTGCATACAGTTAAAGAGCTAATTAGGATTCTCATCAATCCAGATTGTCAAGTTCTTGGTTGCAGTGGCATTATATAGAGGATGTGTTTTGTTTTGTTTGGGCCTTGAGGAAGAGAAAACTAGAAAGTAGGCAAAACATGACTGGTAGATTGATAAATGCCATCCATCCCACATGGTAGTTGCCAATTGGGAGCATTTGTATTCATATTAGGAAAGTATTGTCAATGCATTGATTTTACTCTACTTGAATAGACTCTAGTATGCCATTTTAGCGTTTCCTGTCTAGCAAGTTGCCATTTTAGTGTTTCTTGTCTAGCTTTTCTGTACTATAACCTTCCAGATTGGAGAGCTTTCCGAATTACTCCTAACTTATTTTGCATTTCATTGCAAATTATTTATATCTATACTAATTTATTTTCTTATTGTTTACATGTAGTTTCAACAAGTTGATTATGACAAAGCGGTTATTGATCTGGTGCGTTCTGAATGGGCCGATATTCTATCAAGTCATATAGAGTAGGTATGATTTGGTCATTAGAACGTTGTGATCATTTGGACTTGAATTGGTTCGTGGAATTGTTTTTTGTGTAGTAGTATTATGACTTGGATGATAATTAGAATTGGTCATGGAAGTCTTTTGACTTGTTATTTTGAACCTTATTAGCTTGTGAACAATTATGTAACTACGCTTTGCAACATATGGTGAATGGATAAATTGTTTTTTTATATGATTATAATTTAAGCAGGTGAAAAACAGTTAAAAACCGTTGTCTATTTTACAATAGACAACAGTTAGAAACCGTTGACTTTTCTACAAAAGACAACAGTTTATGGGTGTTTCAACAACACCCAATAGACAACGTTTTATAACTGTTGTCTTTTAAAGAAAAGACAACAGTTAAAAACCGTTGTCTATGTACGTGATTTTTAACAACACTGGTTTCAACAACGCTTAATAGACAACGGTTAAAAAACCGTTGTCGTTGGTAGAAAAGACAACGGTTAAAAACCGTTGTCTATTGCGTGACTTTTAACAACACCGGTTTCAACAACACTTAATAGACAACGGTTAAAAAACCGTTGTCGTTGGTAGAAAAGACAACGGTTAATAACCGTTGTCTATTGCGTGACTTTTAACAACACCGGTTTCAACAACACTAAATAGACAACGGTTAAAAAACCGTTGTCGTTGGTAGAAAAGACAACGGTTAATAACCGTTGTCTATTGCGTGACTTTTAACAACACCGGTTTCAACAACACTAAATAGACAACGGTTAAAAAACCGTTGTCGTTGGTAGAAAAGACAACGGTTATTAACCGTTGTCTATGCGCAGGACCTACAACAACACCGGCTTCAACAACACTTAATAGACAACGGTTAAAAAACCGTTGTCGTTGGTAGAAAAGACAACGGTTAATAACCGTTGTCTATGCGCATGACCTACAACAACACCGGCTTCAACAACACTTAATAGACAACGGTTAAAAAACCGTTGTCGTTGGTAGAAAAGACAACGGTTAAAAAACCGTTGTCTATGCGCATGACCTACAACAACACCGGCTTCAACAACAGAAAGTATACCCCTACGACAACGGTTAATAACCGTTGTCTATGTGCATTTTTCTTGTAGTGAATATAACTCATAGCCATCCAAGTGTGAAAATCATGTTTCACACACTCATTCACTTCTTCCAGGTAATGTATGTCACTATTTTCTTGAAGAGTTATACTACATGTACTCCCAAATCTTATTCCATCAAATTTACTCCCTGGTCTGGCGAACACTAATAGGTTATTTTTTCATATGGGCCCCTGTAAATGTGTTTACATCAGAATTTTAAGTATAGAGTAAAAATTAGGACTATGAAATGAGAGTACATATAGTATTTTTCTTTCTTGAATATCATTTGGCTAATAAGATAGTTAATGATCGATTTGACAAGTGTCATTAGGCTATCCTTATCCGTGCAATACTCTCTCACTTTCAAAAATGGGTCATACTTCCACATCACCCAATTTACAATTCATTTACTATTTACACTACATCCCTGCAAATTCAATTAATTTTTAAAAATGGGCCCCAATATCACATCAATTTAAAACATTAACTCAAAATTAAAAAAAATAATAATAAAATAAAAGTACTATACAGCAGCCTTTGATGTCATTTTGTAGCAAAGGCTGCCATTAGAGCATTCATACTAGCTTTAGTTTTTTTGTGGTTTTTTAGATGACACCTGGAATAGAGAAGGTGAAAAAAAAAAAAAACCACAAAAGCAAAACAAAACAAAGAAATATGTTTTCACGTCAGAGTGGCCATCAGCTGGCGAGCACTACGCACCTACTCTGTTTTTTTTTTTTTTTAATTACTTACAAAATCTCATGTTTTGCAGAAGTAAAAACATCCCAAAAAACTACCTTCCACGTTAGTAAAAAAACCACCTCCAAATTTTTTTGCCGACAAAAATCACTTAAAATCCATTGATATGAATGATCTTAGCAAGTTTGTTAAAACAGCAAACTTGTTATCTTATGTGGCAAACTAAGCAATAAAAAATTAATTTTTTTTAGCCACCTCACTTAACAAGTAAACCACTTGTTAGGCTGAGGCTAGTCTTAGAATCCAGTCAGTTCACCATCAAACATTAATGTGAAAAAAGAAAATGTAAATAACGCCAAAGTAAAAACAAAATTTGTTGCTCCATCATTTCCATTATAAGTGTTTTGTTCAATTAAGGAAACTTAAAATCGTTAAAAAAAAAAATGAAACTTAAAATTATTTATAATTCTATATTAAATTAAGACCATATAAATTTTATATTTTAAAAATTACATTAAGATTTTATTAAATACAAAAATATAAAATAATTAAGAAAATACGGAGTACTATATAAAATGAATAAAAGAAAAGAGTTAGTTTGAGTGATGAATAGTGCATTGCTAGATGGATAAATGTAATATTTATGTGCAACCATAGTAGGTCCTAATCATAAAACCTACGAATGAAAGTTGAATGATGAATGAGTATAAATACTGGGCAACGCTTCAGCTAGAGAACACACAATACAGAAAATAAAAAGCAGCTAGAAAGCAGAGCATCCATGGAAGATTTTGGAGCAAGTTTGGAGGGGCTGAGGAAGACATTCCGTTCAGGTAAAACCAGGGAAGAATCTTGGAGGAGGTCCCAGCTGAAAGCTTTGCTCAGACTGGTTCAGGAGAAAGAAGATGACATCTCCATGGCCCTCAAACAAGACCTGGGAAAACACCATGTTGAAGCCTACAGAGATGAGGTCACTCATACAAATTCCTTTTGTTTCAGATTTTCAGTCTCTTCCCATTTTTCTAACTCCCCCCCTTATTTTTTTTTCATTCTTAGATTGGACCACTTGTAAAGTCTATAGAGTTTGCCATGGCAGGCTTAAAGGGCTGGATGTCTGGTAAAAAGGTATCATCTTTGATCTTTCTGTGTTTTGGTAAATGCTCCCCTTCATAATGGGTGTTACTGTTTTCCAGGCCAAACTACCCATTGCTGCATTCCCTGCAAAAGCAGAGATAATTCCTGAACCCCTGGGTTTAGTCCTCATTTTTTCAGCTTGGAATCTCCCTATTGGTGATGATCAGCAAAAGATTTTCTCTATTTGGACCATTTTTTACTTCTTTTTTTTTCATTTTATGCATGTGAAAAATGGTCTGAAATGAAAATATTTTCTTCTTCTAATGAAGGGTTAGCATTGGAACCCATCATCGGAGCTATAGCCGCAGGATGTGTTGCTGTTCTTAAGCCGTCAGAGCAGGCTCCGGCATGTTCATCAGTGATAGCCAAGTCTATTCCTGCTTATTTAGACCCTAAAGCTTTTAAGGTCATTGAAGGTGGGAGTTTGGTTGCTGAGAGGCTGTTGGAGCATAAATGGGACAAGATTTTCTTCACAGGTTTAATGACACTCAGATTTCTGGAGAGTTTTCCCTTTGTTTTTCTTGGATCACTGTTCATTTCTAGATTATTTCAGGCAGTGCAGCGGTGGGGCGCCTCATTATGACTGCCGCCGCCAAGCACCTGACTCCTGTCACTTTGGAACTGGGAGGAAAATGCCCTGCCATTGTTGATTCGATTTCCAGTTCTTGGGATAAAGATGTAATGCCTTCTTCCTTGTTCTTGGTATTCTTTATTGTTCATTAGCCAAACCAGCAATCTTTTTGTTGGGCGGAGGCCGATAAGAGCCAAGTCTAGCACCATGAGTGGCTAAGGGATTGTTGGACAGAGACCAGTAAAAGGGCGAGTCCAACACATGTAGCTAAGGGATTCTTAAGTGGAGGTCAATAAAGGATCAATCCAACAACATGTGACTAGGAGATTGTTGGGTGGAGACCGGTAAAGGACCCCACCATGTGTTTACGGGATTGTTGGGCGAAGACCCATAAAGGGCCAAGTCTAGCACCATGGTTAGAGTATTGTTGGACGGAGGCCCGTAAAAGGTCAAGTCCAACACCATGTAGCTAGGGGATTGTTGGGCGGAGGTCGATAAAGGGTCAATCCAGCATCATATGATTAGGGGATTGTTGGGTGGGGTCAGTAAAGGGCAAGTCTAGCACCATATGTAGGCCCGTAAAGGGACAAGTCTAGCACCATGTGATTAGGGATTGTTGGGAAGAGACCGGTAAAGGGACAAGTCCAGCACCTGACTTTTGAAAATGTGTGGAAATATAAGAAAATAAAATTACCTCTTCACTACTTGCTATACCTTTGGATAGTGGTAAGCACTTATCCTAATACTTTCTCATGACTTCCTTCTGTAAACTTCCCAAGGTTGCATTGAAAAGGATTCTTGCTGGAAAATTTGGCACCTGTTCTGGTCAAGCATGCATTGTAGTTGACTACATACTTGTGGAAAAGAAGTTTTCATCTGAGCTGGTAAAATAGTAGTTCTGTTTTTCTTTGATTTTTCCCATGATTTAGGCAATGTTTTCAAACTGGGAAACATTTTAATTCTCTCAAATGATTACTCTGGAATCAGGTCCAACTTCTGAAGAAATATATCCAGACAGTTTTTGGAGACAATCCAAAAAAGACACACTCTGTTGCCAGGATAGTCAACAAAAAACACTTCACAAGGCTGAAGAGTTTATTGGATGAGCCTAAAGTGAAAGCTTCTGTAGTCTATGGTGGTTCGATGGATGAAGATAATCTGTAAGTATCTCTTCAGATCAAGAGCATTCTGGCAGCATATGCAACGCCACGAATCTCGAAAACTCATGGCAATCTACTCGCAGGTTCATCGAGCCAACTCTGTTGGTGGATCCCCCTCTTAATGCTGCAGTCATGACAGAAGAAATCTTTGGTCCAATTCTTCCAATAATAACAGTGAGAATTCATATCTCAACCATATAAATGCAGTTCAACTGTTTTCTAGGGAAAGATCTGTATAAAGTGATTGTGTTGTTGTTCTGGCAGCTGGAGAAAATAGAAGACAGCATTGATTTCATCAACTCCAGGCCTAAACCTCTTACCATTTATGCCTTCACTCATAATGAGACACTCAAGAAGAAGATAGCGTCTCAGACATCTTCAGGAAGCTTGGTGTTCAATGATACAATTGTCCAAGTAAGTTCATCAATAAATTGGCCCTATTTAGTAACATAGTTAGCTTATCAGTTAATTTTGACTTATTTGACCACTATTAGCTGTTAGACTTAGCTAAACAATCAATGTTTGATTAATTAGCTTTTGTAACAACTTATTGCTCTAAAATGCTAAAATTCAAAAAGCTGTTCAAAGTAGCTTTTTCGATTAGCTTTTTTAGAAAGTCATTCATATAATCAGCTACCAGCTAACAGCTAATTTACCAAACACTTTTCTGTTAGATATACAATAGTCTAACTATAATGAATAACAGTATACGAGAAACCTGACCTCGTATGACAGCGGAAGCGTAGCCATGTAGATCTCCAGCCATAATTGATGTTCCTGTTGTGTTGCCTCTTAACGGTAGACCGTCAGCCATGTTTTGCCTCAGACCTGACTCAGAACCCTAGATGGTGTATTGGTGTCTACTGAGCGGTCTGAGTACCGTAACTGAATGTGCTATCTAATCCATAATCCTGTATCCCATCAATCCAGGTTATATTAGGCACAGAGTTTGGTTGACTAATAACTACTAGTTATTAAGTCCAACCAGACCACTTAATAAGCCTAGTCAACTTGCACCACTTAATTAAGGCCCTAATATATAATATATAATATATATTATTAGGGAAAATCTTACATTTTCTACAATCAGCTAATGATATCAACTAGTCAAACTCATTAACCTAATCAGTTAATAGCTATAAGCTAATAGTTATTTACCAAATACCCCCAATGTTAGTAATAGTATCAAGTGCTTATCACCATGCCAAAAGCTATAACTCATAGCGAAGGCACAACTTTATTTTCTTATATACCGCCACATTTTCGAGAGGCAGGGTGCTGGATTTGATCCTCACCGGCCTCCGCCCAACAGTTGCCTAGTCACCAAAATTGTTGGACTTGACCTTTTACAAGTTTCCGCCTAACAAATAACTATTTTATACTTTAGAGTCTACGACATTCGACTAATTTCACGACATCTACTACTTGCTCTGATAGCATATTGATTTCGATTTTTTTTTTTTTTTGATATTTTGTAGTATGCAGCTGATACTCTTCCATTTGGGGGAGTTGGAGAGTGTGGGTTTGGGAGATACCATGGGAAGTTCTCATTTGATACATTCAGCCATGAGAAAGTAGTTGCTAGAAGAAGCTATCTGATAGATTTTTGGTTCAGATATCCTCCATGGGATTTTAAGAAGCTTCAGCTCCTAAAGGCTGGCTACAGATATGATTATGTCAGCATTGTTCTCATGGTCTTGGGACTAAAGAGAACCTATTAGCCTATGCTTGAATTTGTGTGATCTATCTTTGTTTTGGTTGCTATGCAACGCCAATGCATTCTGTGATTCAGTGAGTTAATTAACTATATAAGAAATTCTACAATGTCGTAGCGAAAAAATATCATATTATCAGAATAAAAAATAGCGAAGATATTACTTATATTTGTAATTTCTTTTATAAATGATGCAAATTGTTGAAATATGATATTTTATCTATGAGATTGTAACATTTCTCAAAATAAATATAAAGTATTTATATTTGTTTGGCAAATAATTACTCTTGTTACAATAATAAGTTTCCTATTAGATGAGAGCATGGTACTAAAGTTCAGGTCATCACTTGGTAATTTATTACTTTAAATTGTAGTCAAACGAATAGTAAAATTAAATTAGTAGTACTCAAAAAAAAAAAAAAAAATCTAATGAGACACTTTAAACGGAGTTTTAAAGTTATTTATTTATCAAGGTATTGCTTATTTGATGCTTACAAGGCATTTCATGTGTACTTTCAAATGTGACACTAATTTAATTGATTATTTTTACAATTTATTATTTTATTTAAGAAAAAAAAAGTTACCGCGTTATTGTTTATGTCTAACGATGGTTGTCTTTAAAAGAAATAAAATTTGTAGTCAACATTGATAGTGATTAAGGATGGGAATAGTCCAAGACAATTTGTAAGAACCTAATTAAGGCTTAGTTAGGCCTGACTTATTTAGTAAAAAAGTTAGGCTTAGACTCATTTCAAAGTTTATTAAATAAAACAGGACAAACCTATATATACTTAGTCTGGCCTTCAAACCTACAGACTTGGGCTATTCACACACACACATATATATACATATATATAGGGAAGAGATCGAAGAGTCTCCCAGGTGAAACATGGGGTAAGATCTGAGTCGTTAATCAAATATAGATCAACGACTCAAATCAATGAAATTTTTATATAAAAAAAATAATAATAATGCACTTCCTGGGAATACAAAAGCTAAGTGTTAAAAACGACACATCTTATGTGTTAAAATAGTGCACCTTCAGTGTTAAAAATGACGGACCTTAAGCTTAATTTGAAAATGCACACCTTAAACTTTAAATTTACGCACCTCAAGTTTTCGTGTAGAACTGACACATTAAGTGTTAAAATGTGTTAAGCTTCAAGTGTACAATCAAACTTGGTTATTTAACCAAACTAAACTAATCGAATTGAGTAAATACTAGTGGAGGTCCTCTAACTTTGGTGGCACTGCCACTTTTAGTCCTCAACTTTTAAATCAACCACTCTTAGTCCTCTTACTTTTTGTTTCTAGCCATCTATGGTCCTTCCGTTAAACTTGACCATCTAATGCCGTTTTCTCAAGGATAATTCAGTCCTTTCATAATTAATTTATTAATTATCATGTTTGTCGAGTCATACCGAGATATCCCGACATCGTTTTGGCACAACCTTCGTACCAGCTTTTGTACGCCATTTTGATTCACGAGTTGGTTTTATACACGTTCATAGCTGGAAAACCATTGTTTGACTATTCTGATGAGGAAATTAAACATAAAAATTAATAAATTAATTATGAAATGACTGAATTATCGTTTAGAAAACGGCATTAGATGGTCAAGTTTAACGAAAGGACCATAGATGGCTAGAAACAAAAAGTAAGAGGACTAAAAGTAGTTGATTTAAAAGTTGAGGACTAAAAGTGGCTGTGCCACCAAAGTCGGAGGACCTCCACCGGTATTTACTCAATCGAATTTATAGAATATTTTAACCATTAATCAAACCACAATTCATATTTTTCAATTTATTCAACAAAAACACTTTTAAGTAATCAATTAACCAAAATAATATGGCAAACACTTGTGTGCGACCTCCGAGAGACGGGTCGGATCAAGATAAAAATGTAATATTTATGCTGAAAAATGTAATACTAATCATGACTAAAGTGTACATTACTTATATAAAAAGTGTAATACTTTTGAAAAAAAATATACGGAGTAATACTTTTATATTTTGATTTAAAATTTTTATATTTTTCCTCATAAGTATTACATTTCCTCTTATTAGTAACAAACACTTGACAACATTTTAACTGTAATACTTTGGATGATCTAATGAAAATGTGGTTCAATGTTCTTGAGTTCAACTTGATCTTCTTCTTCCTTTTCTCTATGCATGGTTATAGTGTACGATTATGCAGGATTCATACGAAAATACATCCTACTTCACAACAAAATAAAAATTTAAAAACATACATACACACTACTACACTAGTATATTCAATTAACTGATCGATTAATTCAATTAATCAACTCTTTCGAACCAAATTAATGAATAACACCGTTCACCAAATCAGAACATTTTAGATAAAAACCAGTTAACTAAATTTGCTTTTGGTCTCCAAATCGATTTTGAATTTGCTAATAACTAAACAAAAACCATCTTGACAACTAAAAGCTTCTAGTCTATCTAGTCTACTGGCTTAATAAGAGATAAAGCAGTGATAACAGCTTCTAAAAGGTCTACCAAAGCAACAAGGGACAATAGTTACAGATGAAACTATGTACTATATATTTAGAACATAGCATTTCACTGGAGAATCATGGAAGTAGCATACATAGTAAACAAGGGTTTCTTATATAGTTATATCCTACAATAAGGGAAAATCTCAGCCGTTATAATGTCCAAATGTCGTCATTACAAAATTGAAACCATAGGATCTCTGTGAGGGATGAATTCTAAGCTTGCTCTGAAAGTGATGATGTCTTTTGCCATAGCGGCCGGCCTAAGACGGAACTTGCATGGACAGCGAGGTAAGAGGCATTTAACCTATGAACAGAAAATTGCCATTTCAATACATTTTTTTAAAGTCCTTCAGACAACTGGAGTCATAAATTTAC